CAGTCAGAGCTTGGTCTAAGCAAACAAGGGAGAAAATCACTCGCCCTCGTGATTGGTACCCAGGAGCGCTCTGCTGTTGCTTACGGGGAACCTGGCTGAGGATGCTCAGGGTGCCAGTGGCAGTGATGCTCCCAGCCTGACATGAGCAGGGGCTGGCACTGCTCTCTCTTGCTCAGAGCAGCACCAGGGCTGTTCCGCTGCCCTAGCAGCGCTGTGCCTGCACCGAGGCTGTGACACCATTGGATCAGCATTTTTTTGAAGGAGCTGAGACATCCGAGGGTGGCAGTGCATCCCCTGAATATCCTGCAGCCTCACATCCACAGGTTTGAGCACGATGCTTCTCCACTGACATCTGTGGAGCTTCTCTAGCTTTACGGAAGTGCAAAGAGGAGTCCAATCAAACTTACTATGTTCAAGGCCAAGAGGCTGGGTTAGATTTACCTGACCACGGCAGGTGAAAGCTGGGGCAGATTAGAAAAAAAAAAAATCTGTCGTCTCACAAATCACCACCAGCCTGTGCTGCAGAGGTCAGGGCAGATGGAGCCAGGCATTCCAAACACCTCCCTGAAGGACCAGACTGGCCCAGGTGATGCAGAAATTGGCTTGTGCCTACCAGTCACGTCCACGTTTCCATCTACAGGTGGCAAGAGACACTGCTGGGATCAAGGATAAATGAAGCATCTTGTTTTTCTAAACCAGAAATAGCTTTTGGGGCCATGCATGGCGTACCTTATACCCTCCCTGAGCAGGTCTAGCACATTGAATCCCCCTCAAATGGCAGCTGCATCCATTTAGCTCCCTTCTTTGATTCCAAGTGTCATTGAATGTGGTCTCCCTAATTTTCTATGATAGCTATCATTTTATTTTTTTCCAGGTTGTGCAATTTCCAATAAAATTAGAGTTAGCACAAGCCAGACCTATGTTTGTTTTTCAAAGCAAATCTAATTGCTCTTCTTACTGTAATTGCCTTTTGTTCAAAGGATTGGATTGAGATACAGAAAACAAGTTGCAGGCAGATGCTAATGATTTTGTATGTAAATTGCTAACATTTCTTTTACAAATAGTTCATGCAGGTTTTTAGTTTAACAATTAAAAGATCTGCTTTTTCAAACCACTTTCAGTAATATCTATAGACATTTAACGAAATACCTCAGGCTCTAAATCTCCAAATAGGAAAAACATAAATGTATTTATTTACTTTGTATACAAAAATAGTTTAGTCAAAGACACATCTTTCACATGAAGATAAAAACAGACAAATTTCCTTTTTTCTCTAAATCACAAGCACGCTTTTTAATGAGGAGAACTGGTGAGTTTTCTGAGTGAGCTGAGTTCATGACGGTGCTGACAGGGGACTGGGAGCTCTATGAAGTTTGTACAGAAAATAGAGTCACGATTTATTTCTTTGTTTAAAGACTGACAAAACACCAGTGATTAAAAGATGAAGCCATCTGTCCTCTCACTGTCTTGTAGCTGGTCATGCTATTTCTATCAAGGAGAGAGTTGGGAAAAAAAATGAGTAGGGTTTGTTACACGCCTGTTTCAAAAGGTCTCTGCACCAAGTGAGAGAGTGAAATGGGTGCACTTGACCCATACCATTCCCTCTGGAGGAGGATGTCCCTACATCCCGTCAGCAGCACACGGGGGACACAGCCCGAGGATCCCTTTGCTGTTTATACCCACTCTGTATCTGTGGGATGAAGAGAAAGTATTGGACTCCAGGTCTGCTCATCAATCGCATTTCATCAACAGTGGATTCATCTTAAAAAAACAAAACAAACAAAAAAGCTTGCATACCCCAGAGGTCTGGCCAATAGATGAGTGATTTTCCAAAAGTACTTTCAGTTATCTCAGATTTCAGTCTGTGCAGCAGTGGCCGCTAAGAACCGCTTCATTAGCGTGAAGCCTGTTACGCTCACCTGCACTTTCCTTTCTTCCCAGCTCTTCTCAGCCCAAGACAACTGAAACAGCAGTTCCCACCTGATTTGACGTAATTGCCACAATTAATTTTGACAGTAAAGCTTGTAGAGAGGTTTTTGTTATTGGTAGCCCCAAAGCCATTAGCAAGAGGCACATGCAGAAACTAAGTGACATGATGTAGCTGAAGGCTTGATGTTGGCCATCAAGAAGATGTCAATGAAGAAAAATGTAAGGGTTTGCACATTAAACAGATTGAGAGGACAGTCCAAATATCCCCAGGCGGTGCTTGGGAGAGTGGCCTGTGTCCTGCTTGTCTGTGTCATCTTCTTTCTGCTCAACTGGCTTTTCCTTCTCCATCTATTTGTTCTTTGTGTCACATCTACATGTGGTAGTGCCTGTACCAAAGATTCCTGGTGCTCTAACCTGTGAAGACCCTGCGGCGTGTCAATTCGATGGTAGGATGAATTGCGTCCCGGTGCGTGTTTGTCCCCACGTGGCACAGTGGGACACTAGCTGTTGCTGATGAGGTGATACACATAAGAAGGAGGATATTAATAATAACGAATAAAAATGGCACTATTTAACTAGAACTTAGCTGTCAAATCTGTGGGTTTTCTAGACTGCCAAATGGACAGAGCTGGGATGTTTCTTGGTGGTGTTGCCATGGTTAGTGTCCTGAAGTGCTATTTCAGCTGAATTGTGGGGGATGAGGAATCAACCAGCCAACTCTCAAAAACAATGGCACAGTTTTGTTTACTTGTGGGGGAGCTTAAACATTTAAAGGAAATCTCTGTTTTTTCTTTATTTTTCTTAAATCTTCATTAGGTTGGTATCTTTAAATACATTTGTTTAAAATAATATAATTTTACTGCTTTATTGGTACGAGTGGATATACAATACAGCATCCACTTTTATGAACTACTGCTGTATGTCGTAAAATATTCTACTGTGGTAATTTTAAAATAGATATTTATCTTAAAACTTGCTTTTTGATAACTTTTAAATCTAGATGTGTTTTGTTTCTGAAACAACATTTTTCAAAATGCATCAACTTTTATATTTCTTCTTCATTGAAGATAAAAGATAGTCTTTGTTCCACACTGAAATTAAAACAGACATTGAAAATCCAGATCTCTCATGCACAGTAAGTTCCATGTTTCGGTCAAGTTGGTAGCTATCTTTCACAGCCTATTGGCTTTTTGGTCCCCTTAAAGGGAATTTTCTTGATAAGTTTTCATTGATGGAGGAACAAAGGCATGGGAAAAGGGATTGAGTTGTCTGGTTTGGTTTTGGAGATGCTCTCCATCGTGAGGCTGACTGCCTGGTTGAGCCTGATACCCAGGAAAGTCCGGGAGATGGGAAGTTTGCAGCCACTGCAGACTTCCTGTTTCCTAGTTGAGCTGCATCTTCTGAGTCAAGACAAAGCCTGAAGATAAAGAGCAGATTTAAGGAGTGCTTAAACACTGATCTTCTGGGAAGCTACTTCAAACACTGTTTTATAGTGCTCTAAGTCATCTAGATCTCTCTTAAACTTGTTTCACTCTCTCAAAAATATTTATTTCTCCAGCAAGGAAGACTCCCTCAGACAGGGCAAAATGACCCATTGGGCTGACGGTGGTTTTATCTGTGTGGCGCTAATGATTGATGCAAACTTCACGTGTGCAGCATGGCTCCGCGCTTTCTGCTGTGCTTTATCTTCTGTGGCTTCAAGCCTGCCTGACTCTGTAGGTCTGTTGCTCGCTGGATTTATTGTCAGACCAGCAACACTTTATATAACCCTCAAAGCGCTTGGGAACCCATACCTGAGTGTTGCTGAATGTTCAAAATGTTCTCTCTTAAATGAGGTCTGCAGTAAGTATGTGGCATTACTCCAGATGCTTTGCTCAGATGTCGGTCATGGGTTTTCCATTAGCAAGGTAGGAGAAACTCCCGAAAACTTCTAAGTGGCAAAGGCTTGGGAGAGAGCATCATTCACCTGTAGCAGCACCTGCCTTCACTCACAGGGCTCTGAGATGCCTTGTCTGGGTCCTACAAGAAGGGATTTTGTTGTTAAAACAGTTCTTCAGAAAAGGCGTATTCATTGTGGCTTGAGATTTTCTTGCAAGAATGTCATAGTTTTAAGAAACCCAGTGAGTGAATTTGTTTGGCCAGGATAAATTTTCTGCTCAAAATCAAAGTCTGGGAAAAAACTCACCAACAACCATATCTGACTCAGTTAAGGTTTGGGAGCCCACTGCCACCGAGTCCCCTGGCCAGCCAGCTCTTTTAGAAGAGATAGAATATTTCGCTTTTGTTAAAATCTTACTGGGACATGACAAGTTTTGGTCCGTAGCGGAGTGTAGTTTCCTCCTTGAGACTTTCTGCAAAGCTACGCAAGTGGCAAAGGCCCAGCCAGCCCCGGCTCAGGGGGTGTCCCGGGCCTGTCAGTTCCTCGGCAGGTGTGGGACCAGTTCTTAGTACATGAAGAAATACTCGTGTCAGAAATCTTTAAAATTACTTCTTTCTCTTTACTGAAAGATTTCCAGGCTTTGTGCCAGCATTTCCTCCCATCGCTTTTGAGAATAAATAGTTTACTTGCTTTTGTATTCCCATTTCTCCAAATCCACTAAACGCCCCTGATAAACCGCCTTTACCCATAAGAATTTGAAGAAGCCTCAGTGTTATAGACAACGACCATTGCACATTTCTTGCCCATCACGGGGATGGTAAGAGCAAAGCCAGGGAAGGCATTGGGAGCAGCAGAAGAGCAGCAAGGCTGGCTCTTTGCTTTTCAGCTCTCTTTTTTTCTTCTTGCTTAGTATTTCAGTGTAAATCCTGGCAAATTCCTGATTTTTCCTGCACGTTTTTCATGCCTGTTCACTGTAGGCTGTTTTGCAAACCACGAAGGAGAGCCTTTTCTTTCCGTGGGGAGTTTTCTAGATGTGTGTTATTGCTGGGAGCTGGTATTGCTGATGCCTGTTGTTTTCCATTGTTAAACTAACTGCAATGCGTGACCGTCGTGTATCGCTCAGTGATGCCTAATTTAGGAGATCAGTGATTAATTCCTTCCATTGCTTTTTCTTCTCTCTCTCTCACTGCAGGATGTTTTCACACCAGAGTGCAAATTTAAGGAATCTGTCTTTGAAAACTACTATGTTATTTACTCTTCCACGCTGTACCGGCAGCAAGAATCTGGCCGAGCGTGGTTCCTGGGACTCAATAAAGAAGGTCAAATTATGAAGGGGAACCGAGTGAAAAAAACCAAACCCTCATCACATTTTGTACCCAAACCCATTGAAGGTATGGAATCTGCCCGCTCCCTCCGTCAGTGGGGTGTGGGGAGGGGGAGTTTGCATCTGCAGATTTGGGGCTTCCTGGGTGGGAGTGTTAGACTACAAGACCAGAAAGCAAGGACAATTATGTGTAATATTTAAAAAAGGTGCTGGGCTGCACTGTTGGCATTTCATCTGCTTTCCTTCCCACATAATAAACTTTGCACATCATCTCAAGGGGATTTCTCAGCCTTGGGGTGCTGAAGGATGACTTTAAAAGCCAAGCAACATGAGAAGTTACTGGGAAGGGAAAGCAGCCCTCGAGCCGACAGCAGTTCAGAAGGAACCCAATCCAGCAGTGACCATAACATTGGGTTCTCTGTGAGGATTTTCCCATCATTCAGTGGGTTTCCAGTCCCACGTAGAGTCAGTAGAGACAGGATTTATCTCACCTGATTTTAGACTCCGATACTCTGTTTATAGTAACAGAAGAGAAATGGGTCCTACCAGCACAGCTGTGGATCTACTTTATATATCTACCCTAAGATGACTTAATTCTGTTTTTTCTCATATGTAAAGACATCTTGTTAGTCCCTGGGGGACAGAGAAACTTTATTGTAGGTGTCCAAAGTTAGGTGAGATGCTGTCACGCCATATGTCTTCATCACAGCATGAGGCTTCAGTGAAAGTCATAAAGTTGAAGTTCTGCCTTCCTGCTGCTGGCTGGGCACTCCTGACATGTGCCACAGGCTCGTGCCAGGGCATTTTGCTTTTTATGGGCTGGCCTCTGGCAAACGGAAAGACGCAGTGTGATGAGCCTAGTACTTAACAGATACTAACTCGACTCTGGAAACAAGGAGACCTCTTTTTTCCTGTTGCTTGGAAAAAGCACTACTTTTCAATACCCGAACTAGGTATACATTTCTGACCCCATCTTGGACCTGCCAGTGGCCACCTCAGGGAAACAGCAGCTTGGAGCTGGCCTCAGCTCCTCTCACTGCCCCACATTGGGTGTGGGGTCAGGGCTGGACACGTGGAGAGAAGGAATGAACTGATGCTTTCTTGACAGGTACCACTCACAAGAGGTGGAGGCCACAGCGAAGTCCGTGCACTAGTCACTCTTTTAACTGCTTCCTGGCTAAGGTGTAGAGGCAAACGAGCGTGCGTGTGTGAGTGAAAGGCCGGTTCAGGAAGGCAGGCTGAGATCAGCTGTTGAACCACTGAAGCAATGGCATGATGAGAGAAATTCAGCTCAGAGTATCTGTGGCCTTTGCACAGGAGATGGAGATATTGGAAGAGCAGAGAACGGCCTGAAGCCTCTTGCCCTATGCTTATTTTCAGCAGCTTTTCTGCAGCTGGGAGTCTGTTCTTGTTTATCTGAGGCATTAGTGGGATTGGTGCCCTAAGCCCTTGTTGAGTTTTGCTAAGGAACAGGGTCTGCTTCAGGCATGGGGTCAGTCACCAGCTTCTCTTCTGCCGCCTCCTCTCCTGCCTTGCCTCAGAGGAAAGTCTTTCGCAAGCACTAGCTTTCACAGTTGCGTTTCCAGCTCCTTCTGGTATTTCTTTGCTGCTTGGCTGGATGTTGGCACTGATCAGTGAGTTCCTTTGAATCCAGGCTTTTCTGATGTAGCGTGCGTGGCGTCTGCTGAATGGCTTGATAGTTGTCTTCTGCACACACTAAACTAGACCATTCCTGTGGTTCTCCTCATGGAAAGTCTTGCCCTAATAGAGGTGCCTGACCCACAGCGGAGTTCTCATTGCAGCAAATGCCGCCCTGGCTTTCATTTTGACGAACCCAGCCCAACCCAAGAGCTTCCCCTTCCTGCGGTTGCATCCTCCCACGCTTGCTTCAATCACAGCTGTCACATAACCTCCCGAGCGAGTGAGCGCTTTGCAAGTTGGCAGCCAAATTAAGGGCTCCTCCACCCCTTCCCTCCTCCACATGCTTTGCAGTCAGCCTCTCTGAGTGCTGCTGCATCAAAGAGCTGGCAGTCGCCCAAGCCGAGGCACGTGTCAGCCTCCCAAAGCATTCAGCTGTCTGGGACTGTGACTCCAGACGGAGGACTCTGTTCCCAAGCCTGAGATTCATTGTAGGTAGCAGAGGCTTGTGGGGAGGGTTGGAGTAAAACGCACTCAGCTGCATGTGACTTCTCTGTGCTGCATCCATCAAAGTCTCCGCGAGCAGAGCTTGCAAGCAGAGATGTTACAGAAAAGGGGCAATTTCTTCCCTGTTTTAACAGCTTCTTTCTCTTTGTCATGGCTCTAAGGAAGTATTCAAAGCATTCCCTGTGTATTTCTATGTCCCTTCTGCTAAATGCTGTGGCATGCTCCAGCATGTGGGCTTTGCTGCTTATTCAGGCCAGTACTTTTCAGCTTCCATCTGCAGTAACATGCCCAGGTTTCCTTTTGCTTCAGTACCACCACGGGCATTAGCCCTGGCACATGATGGCTGGCACAGTGATGGATGCAAGGAGGAATCTGGTCCCCTAGGAAGAAGAGGTGTTACATACATTGCTAGGAATCACTTCACCCACCACTTCAATAGCAATTATCTCTTGAGATGAAACTTCCCAGTTGTTTGCCGTGTGCAGAAAAATTATGCAGGGAGCGTTCACAGAGAAAGGAAACACAAAAAATCCCAGATTGCTCCCAGAGCTCATTTGGCTCCCGTTGCTTCATACTCCTTTCATAATTCAGAAGTCCTCTCCTCAAAGTTGCAAATGGGCAATAAGCTAATAAATAAATATGAAATATCCTCCCAGATAATTTCTAAGGGCTACATATAAGACCAGGCTGGATGAGGCTTTGAGCAACCTGATCTAGTGGAAGGTGTCCCTGCCCATGACAGGGGGGTTGGAACTAGATGATCTTTAAGGTCTCTTCCAACTCAAACCATTCATTCTGTGATTCTATGATATGTGTACATGTGCATACGTATACAGTGGTATCTGTGTGTGTACGTATGTGTGTTATCTATGGCTTTTAGCGGCTACAGCTTTATGCCATCCTAATCCTACAGAATGTTTTGACTCCAGTAGGTGGTCAGGATGCTGGAAGTGTTCTGTGCAAAACTCACGGGATACCAACTGGAAAAGTTTTGGCTTTTGGTTGGCAGGAGGGTTTTTTTAGTTTAGTGTAGGTAGGATTTGTTTGTTTTTGGAAATAGCATTAAGCTTAATCAATATAAAAGCACAGAAAACTTAGTAAGTAATAACAGGGGAAACGTTACGTTCCTCTCCCATCTGTGCACAGGCAAAGCCAAGGCAAACAGCCTCGCAGGCAGCAGTTAATGTACTGTGTGATGCCAGTTTTGGTTAAAAACACACATACACAACACATTTCTTTTGATATTTTTATTTCTGATCACTGATCGTTCAAGCTAAATGAGCCCTTAAAGTGCAGACATATAGATTGAACCAGACTGCACAAGAAATTAGCTTGAGTATAATTGTCACTTGGACACCAAGCAATCTTTTAAAGCAATTTCAGTCTCTTTAAGTGTCTGTAGTGATTAGTGCTGGACAAACACTACCTTCCAGGGCACCTCTTCTTCTTTTAAATATCCGAACCCATCTCAAACAATGGAGGACTTTTCCAGTCGCTTAAGCGAGAATTTTGTCAGATGCTTATCATGGATGTGCTCTGTTATTTACATTTCCTTCTCCTTGAAGACATCATTTCCAGTTTGCTCTCCTAAAAGAGCTACTTTTCATAGAATCATAGAATGGTTAGGGTTGGAAGGGACCTCAAAGATCATCTAGTTCCAACCCCCCTGCCATGGACAGGGAAACCCTTGGCCTTGTAAATACTTCATGAGGTTCTCACAGGCCCACCTCCCCAGCCTGTTGAGGTCCCTCTGGATGGCATTCCTTCCCTCCAGCGTGTCCACAACACCACACAATTTGGTGTCATCTGCAAACTTGCTGAGGGTGCACTCAATGCCACTGTCCATGTCACCAACAAAGATCTTAAATAGCACTGGCCCCAGTACTGACCCCTGAAAAACACCACTCGTCACTGGCCTCCACTTGGACATTGAACCGTTGACCACAACTCTTTGAGTGCGACCATCCAGCCAATTCCTTATCCATCGAGTGGTCCATCCATCAAAACCATGTCTTTCCAGTTTAGAGACAAGGATGTCGTGTGGGACAGTATCAAATGCTTTGGATAAGTCCAGGTAGACGGTGTCAGTTGCTCTTCCCCTATCCATCAATGCTGTAACCTCATCATAGAAGGCCACCAAATTAGTCAGGCAGGATTTGCCCTTAGTGAAGCCATGTTGGCTGTCACCAATCACCACCTTATTTTCTATGTGCCTTAGCATAGTCGCCAGGAGGATCTGCTCCATGATCTTGCTGGGCACAGAGGTGAGACTGACTGACCTGTAGTTCCCTGGGTCTTCTTTTTTTCCCTTTTTAAAAATGGGGGCTGTGTTTCCCCTTTTCCAGTCATTGGGAACTTCACCAGATTGCCACGACTTCTGAAATATGATGGATAATGGCTTAGCAACTTCATCCGCCAGTTCCCTCGAGACCCGTGGATGCACCTCATCAGGTCCCATGGACTTGTCCACCTTCAGGTTCTTTAGATAGTCTCGAACCTGATCTTCTCCTACAGTGGGAGGTTCTTCATTCTCCCAGTCCCTGCCTTTGCCTTCTGTGACTTGGGCTGTGCAGCTTCATCTCTCACCTGGCCCAAGCCAGAACGCATTTGAAGTGGCAAATCTGGCCACATAAAGCAGAAGACTACTCATCCTCAGTCTGAGTCAGCAGAGCTGCCCCTACTCCAAACTCGTAGTGCTTCAGCCCTCATGATGTGAACACATCTCAAATATGAAGGTGACCTGTTAATGACTAGTCTGATCCATTTACTACCACCGATGAATATCCATCTGGAAGGAACGGCAGCGAAGTGTTTCCCAGTGTGTTTTACCAGGGAGGCAACATCCCAGTTTTGTTAAAGCAGAGTCCTCAGATGTTGCAAAGAAGTACAAGACACTGTTGAGTAGGAAGAGGCGATAAGCCTAGTGAAAATACTTGGGAGGTATCACCTTAATCCACAAAGCATCCTAAAAAGTGTTCTTTAAAAAAAAACCAAACAAACCCCACACTCTTTATCAGTCTTTGTTAACACTTTTGGGTCTGTCTTTCAAGTGAGGAGGCTTTGGTAAGTTCTTAGTACCTCATTCACTCACTTGTTCATCTATCAAACTCCTTATCATCTTATTAGATGGCAAATGCAATGTATTTTAACCATGCTTTTGCTTGGCTTTTTATCATCCTGTTCTGCGTTTCTTACCTGAACAAACTGTGATTCCATCTGGTAGCATCCTGCACGTTTAGCTGCCAAATAGACGGCGAGCTCCAACGCCCTGAAACGCATCAGCTGGGATCGCGTTTAGAACACAGTAATTAGAGGCAGAAAACGAGGGTGCATAATCACTCGCTCCCTCCTGCCCCTGGCTGCTGCTCAGATAATTAATTCTCTCCATCGAAGCGTTAGCTAATGCAGCCTCTGCTGCAGATACCGACACCCCAAGCTGTGGCAGCCATCAAGGGCAGGAGCCCATCTCCTGGGCTGCCAGCCAGGGGCTGTGTGCCCAGCCCTGCCCAGACACCGATCTGGGCTGCCGTCGGGGCGCTGGCCATCCTGCTGGGCTAACGACCTGCTGCCTGATAAACCTCAACTTGGGAAAAATTGCGTTCCTCCTAACTCGCTAGGGTCTGGGGCAGGGAAGGCCAGGAGGGAAGCTGGATGGATGAGATATGTCTAAGGTCCTTTAATAATCTTGTCACTTTATTCTAGAGAAGGGAAATGGAGTTTGTTGCATCCCCTGAACCTCCTCAGCTGGCAGAGATGCTGAGTGAGAAGTGCTAGGATCAGGACACAAAACGGTGCGTGCTTCCTAATCTCAGGCAGTCCCTGATGCCTGGGGAAGCTGCAGAGGGTGATCTGGGTTTTGCTGTGTGGGTGGTGTGCCAGTGCCTGGCATGCAGAAGTGAGGCTGGGATCCTGCGCCGGCACATAGGCGAGAGATTGAGCTGTTCCTGGGTGACAGGCAGCCCCCTCCATGCTTTGCCCTTCGGGAAGGATACTTCCCACCACCCCCTTCCCCCTTGCTTGTACGCCCAGGCTCCTTCCTGCCTAATCAGTAAGTTGTTTCTTTGTGCAAAGTTGTTTCCTTGTGCACGAGAATGGCAGGCACTGCTGGGAAGCCGGGAACCAAAAGCCTCAAGAACCAGACGAAAGCCTCAAGAACCAGACGTGGCCACAGCTCCCCTCCCACTCGGCCCCTTCCATTTATGCCTGTGGCTCTTCAGCAGATCAAGCCAACAGCATTTTTCAATTAAAGGATGAATATCGATGTGTTGATTAGAATCTGGGACAGAGAAGCTGATTATCTGATTGAAGCTCCAAAGCATCAGCTTGGTTTCTAGACGTTAAGGGTTGTATTTGGCTGGGTGGGTAGGTGTGGGTGGGTGGGAGAAGCAAGGCAAAGCAGGGAGGGGTCTCTTGCCCTAGCCAAATTGTTCATCCTTCCAAAGCCACCTTGTGCTGTGTGCACCACCTCCCAAGCATCTGGGCATGCTGACTGTCACGCTGCTGCTAGTTTGCCTTGATGCAGGTGACAGGGGCAGTGTGTCCACACACACACACAGACCTGTCAGTGAGTGCTGCTGGTCCTGAACCACAAAGATGTACTTTAGAGCTGGGAAGATCCGAGCACTCACCGCAGTCCATTTGCAAACACTCCCCTCCCCAGTCCATGACTAACGTCTCTGCGCATGAGTCACGCTCGAGCTTCCTCAGTACGAGGAATAGCAAAGTTCAGTCCAAGAGCCTGTCGCACAGCATGTCACACTGTCCTTAACCCCCCACGTGTGCGGCTGTGCACACACGCACCCGTGTGTCCCTCCGCTCACACATCTGTGTGTCGCAGTGCAGGCGGGTTGGCAGACACAGCTTAGCTCACACACGAGCCTCTTGTGCAGGAGGATATCCAGGCACTGTCTTGTGCACAATGCCATATAAATACTGTCTACCCTGATACTGTAGGTGTATCTAAATACTGAAAATACACTTGTCCTATGCTGCTGCCAGTTTTCTGGCATGGCCTGCCTGGTACAGAGGCTTTGATAGCTCTGTCTGACGAGCAGTGTGAGCAACCTCCAGCCGTGCCCCATGTCAGTACTGGTATCATGCACTAGACTGGAAGATAAACTTATAACTCCTGTCCTATTTTCTTGCTAGGTACAGGGTTTCCTTAATTTTTAGCTGCAAACGTTGTTTACTTCTGTAGCCTGATTTATATTCATTACTCTCTGGGCCTTGTTAGCAGCTTGACGTTTTCGCCCAAAGGCCGTGGTGAGAGGCAGGGAGCTGAAGAAAGGCTGTGGTGCTGTGGCTGTGGGCTTTGCTCAGGCTCAGCCTTTGTGCTTAAGCATCTGCTCCAGCCCAATGGGTTATTGGGGACGGACGCAGCTTAAGGTGAGCTTAGTACATGCAGCTGCCTCAAGGGAAGAGCTCACAAGGTCCCTCTACCTCTAGCTTGGGACCAGAGAGGTCAGGGTGTAGATAACACTGCACTTAAGGCAGAACTTTGTGTATGGGACATCAGGGGCACTGGGGCAATGCCGGCACAAATACCCAACTCTACAGGGTAAACATCATGTCAGAAAATAAGGTTGATCACAGAAGTGATCCTCAGCGTTCATTAAAAGGCTCTGCAACTCAGGCCAAGCAATCACAGGAGCACAGGTTTTCCTAAGTTGTTAACCTTTTCATACTGTTCTTTAAGATTTTGTTAGGTGCTTTGCCACACACAACACAAGAGGCAAATTCATCTTCGCCAGGTTGTTGGGTGACACTCACCAAGGTACAAGGGGCAGCTCAGCCGCTGAAAGGGGGCACAAGGTCCCTTTTCCTTCTATTGCCACCTTGCTACACGCTTTTTTTGCAGCATTCAGACAGCACCGATAGTCTGGGCAGCTGACGGGCAGTCCTGGCATTGCACATCCTGGCATTGCACATCCTGGCCCAGACCCATGGGACAAGTCATTCATTTTCTTTTTTTGCTCATTTTCATCAAAAAATGGCTCCGGTAGCAATAACAGTTGGCAGAGCAGCACTTGCCTTGCAGCCACACTGGGAGGCCCAGCTAGTGTCTCTGTTTAAACTGCTTTGAAGGCCTTGCATGAAAAATGCTTTATGAGAAAAGTAATATTTTTTCACTGCTCATATATTCAATGCAATATCCCTCCTATTAATACACAGTTGACTGCATTTTATCTCTGTCCTGTATTGTTGCGAACTGCTATAACTGTTTATCTAGCTAGGAGTAAAATGCAGAGCAATAATGTCATTTGCAGCCTTCCTCAAATTGCCAGGATTTATTTGCAAATCAAGGGAGGTTATAAATATAAGCACTTACATTGCCTTTTTATTCATGGGGTATTTTTTTCATTTCTTCAGATAATTTTTTAAATTTTGTTCTCGTTGATTGCCTGGAACCAAAACCCAATGGACTCTGTCCCTTGTGTTTGAGCTCTGTGCCATTGTCTGTGACGTGACAGCTTTACAAAATGAAGCAGTACACAATCATTTTGTTCTGTTCTAATTTTTTGCAAAGATCCAGGCATGATATTTGCAGTCTAGACCTCAAGTTCTCAACTCCAATATGCCTGCCCTTGAGATGCCTCAGTATTTCACTCACATCTACACCCCACCACGTTTGCAATGAGCTCATCAGAGATGCTCCTTTTGGAGTGAGCTGCTGAGCCACTCCATGTGGGCCCTTGCACTGGCACACCTCACACGGCACAAGGACAGCCATTAGTACTTAGTCTCCGTGGTGAGCTGGATAAATGCTTCAGGCTGCACAGGACATGGGGATGTGCCATGCGTTGGGCAGACGTTGCCTTCTCAGGCTGTCTAGGCTCCAGCAAGTACGTTTTTATAGGGCACACTTTGCTTAGCCAGGGTCTGGAGAGAAGGTGCCCTCCATCCACCCTGTTCTCAGGTGCTGCCAGGTGACCACACAGAGCTAGGATGGCTCCTGGCTTGCTGTCGCTTAATTCATCCCTGTGTGTCTGCCCATGGCCTTGGCCGTGGCTGTCTTGATTTGCAGGGATTAAAAACAAGAAGTGCTGAGAGCAGAGCTCTTGGCTGAAGGAGCCAAATGGGCTTGAGTCACCACTTCCAGATCCAAAGCTTAACACCCAGAAGGCTTGGATGGCTCAGATGCAAGCATGGGTTTGATTCAAGACTCACAAGGGCTTCTTGTTGGAGGTTAAGGACTGGAGACTGGGTAATTCTTGGACCTGTTATTAGGTGATAAACAGCATCTCGAGATAATACACAGTGCTGTGAAGTGGAATGTTTATTTTTTATACATTAATATAACATGAAAAAAACAGTAAAGCACAGAAAACCTAGAAAGACTTATCTGTGAGAAATCCCCCATTTCTATCTGTGCCTTTGGAAGGATCCAGAAACTGGAGAGGGATCTGACTGGCAGTGAGGGCAGGTAACAGATCCTGCTTGGTAACAGAATCTACTACTGGGTCACTGAGGTTTCCGTAAGCGTGTGTGTGTGTTTTTGTACTGGGGCTGGAATTTCAGCCTCATATGCAAAGAAATAATTCATTATGGTCACTAATATCTGTGACTTCAAGGCTGTTAATGGGTGTCTTTTCTGTTTGCAGTGTGCATGTACAGAGAGCCATCGCTGCATGAAATTGGAGAAAAACAAGGACGCTCGAGAAAAAGTTCAGGGACACCAACCATGAATGGAGGCAAAGTTGTTAACCAAGACTCGACATAGCTGATAAATACCCTCCCTTCTTCCAACTTCTCCCCTCCCACCCACCTACCCACCCCACCTGGCGAAACCACACTGAGATGACGACAACTGAGCAAGGCAGGACCTACCGGTAGTGGCTAGGAGTCTGAACTCCAGAATCTTTGTGTAGGACGAGGAAATCGAACCCCAGATCCTGCCTGTTGCAACGTTTTAAAAAACAAAACCAACAACAACAACAAAAAAAAAAAAGTGAAGAAAAAAATGTTTTAAATCAGGACTCCATTAACATTTTCAAAAGCAAACTGTTTGCTCTGTGATCAAAGGGGGAAAAAATTCTCATCTCTGCATAATAATAATAACAACAACTAATAAATATAATAATAATAAAGATGTTACCTTTAAAAATAAAACAAAGCTTTTGGAAAATTGAACTTAGCATATGATGTGCGAGAAACACGTGGGAAACACAGCCTGGGACCGTGATTTCTGTCTTATACTTTCACCTCACGTTCACACCACTGTTTTTTCCAT